GGGAAAGCCCAGGCACACAGGAAAACTAGTCCAAGTGTTGTTCCCCAGGCACAAAAGGCCAAGGACTGTGTGACTCCATTTATATGAAATATGGAGAAGAGGTAAACCCACAGAAATAATAAAGCAAACGGGTGGTTGCTAGGGAGAGGGAGAAGGGATGCTTGATGGGTACAGGGTTTGCTTTTGGGGTGATGAAAATGTTTCGAAACTGGACAAAAGTAGTTGTTACATAACATTATAAACGTACTAAAAACTACTAAATTGTATACTTTAAAATGATTAATTTTATGTTATGTAAATTTTACCTCAATTTAAGGAAGAAAGAAAAAGAGAGAGAGAGAGAGAGAGAGAGAGAGAGAGAGAGAGAGAGAGAGAGAAAGAAAGAAAGAAAGAAAGAAAGAAAGAAAGAAAGGAAGAAAGAAAGAAAGAAAGAGGAGTTTCAAGGGAAAAGAGGGACATGTGTCCAAAATGAGGAGAGCAGGAAGATTAGACACCCAGGGTCCTGGTACTCCCTTGTCTTGGTGGAACTCCAGTGCAAGGCTTGCCTGAGTTCTAGTTTATGACGGTGACAAGAACACAGGTGAGCTAACTGAGGGAGGAGGAAAGGGGAAGAGGGGCACAGGAAAGAACACTGTCCAGAAGCACGTTGGAAGAGGAGTAAATTCAGAGCTGCTGAGAAACTGCAAGTTAGGTCATACCACACTGATCCATTTAGACAGAAAGGACTGAGAAATGCTGAATTAGAAAGATGAAGGGAGGCAGGGTAGAAAGGCGACCAGTAGAGATAAATAAGCATATTTCTGACAAATGGCTGAGGACGCCTCAAAAATGCCCTCACACAAAGGAGGAATGGACAAATTAGGAGAGAATTTACTATCTTGATACATCCTATAAAAATATATAAAGCCACAATCACCAAGGAATGAATGAATAATGAGTAAATGGATGAGAAGAGAGAGGAGAGAAAAAAGGGAAAATTATTTTAGATAGATATTGGAGTAAAAAATTACTTGCTGGTTCATAAGAAATTTGACTTTCAGAGGTTCCTGGTCTGCTTAAAGCAGAAGAATCACTATCCAGTTTTGTGTCTTTTGTTTGGGCTTAAGACCACATTCTCTGTAACAGTGAATTAATTAGCATATTCATGATAGGGATCTATATAGCCTATTTTAACTTGTGTTTTCTAAAGTAAATGGCAGGATACCATAATCCATGCATAAATGTTTACTAAACACCTCCATGTGCCAGGCCTCAGCTACCAAGCCAATGGGGCACAAACTCTGCCTTCTAGGGGTACCTGGGAGCATAGTAGGATTACTTCTCTACTGTAAGAGGGGTTGGGGGTCTGGATGGCTTCCTCTCCATAGAGAGGAAAAAGAGGCCATTGGTCACATCCCAGTTCCACTTCTAACTAGACTTATGACTCAACTATTCTGGGTCTGTTTCCTTACCTGTAGAATGGGGATGACACCTACTCAAAGGGTTACTATGAGGAATAAATAAGATAGTTTATGTAATGTACCTAAGCAGGGTGTTGGCTATAGTAGGTTCTTGATCTAAGGCGGCTGTTTTTAATTAAATGAGAACATGCAGGGTGTGGAGAGAGCAGAGGGACAGAAGCTAGAAAACGCATAGCTCCTTCCGGGAGAAAGCAGAAAGTAGGGCTGGGTGAAATACAAGTAATGTGACAGGTTATGTAATGGAAGAAGGATGTGTAATAAGGGAAACTGGACAGAGGCTGGGAACCCATCCTGCAAGAGGAGGGACATCTCACGCTAAGTTAAGAAATTGGGCTTGATCCTGTGGGCAGGAGGGCAGCATGTGGAAGATTCCACCGAATTCCCTCTGGCATAGTCACCATCAGCTATTCTTGAACACTTTTGCCCTCCAGGTTCTTATAAAATTTATAAACATTACCTCCTGGACACTGGTCTTCTTTGATGAAGACAAGTCATCTCACTAAAACTGCCTGGATGAAGGAATGTTAACTGGTTAATGAACTTATGAATTTCTCAATAAATACTTGCTGAGTGAACATCTGGTCTAGACTCGATGGGGATAAACTGCAGTGTATAATCTTAGCCAAGGAGATGACATATCCACAAAGTGACAATGCAGGAAATGCCAAAACGAGTGGGAAGGAAAAGTCAAGAATGCTTTGGGAAGGCTCGAACTGGTGGGCATGGCCAGCCCTGGAGGGGTTTCTTATGGTTGAGATCTCTCTCCCCCTCATCACACAGCTGGTTATGACAGACACTGTTGAGAACTGCCAGTGTATGATGATGATATAAACCAGATTTCAATTAATTTTATTGGTGATTTAAAATGCTCTAAAGACAAGGCCCGACTTATTGCCTGCACCCAGGGGCTCTTCCTCCATTTGGAATTTTGAGCCTTAGTTTCAGAATTGGCAAAAGGGGATAAACACCCACCTAACAGCATGTTTTGAGAAGGTGAAATGAGATCATCTGAAGGCCCAGGGTTTGACACAATATGACACTTAACGTGCGTTCCTTTTTTTCTCTCATCCTTTCTTCTTTCCCTCCCAAAGTGGTTCCAGAATCCAGTGTAGATAACTTAGCCAATGTCTGCTCAGTTATTTTTCTATCTATACCAGTACCGCATCTTAGCATGCACAATCTAAATTGATAAGAAAGTAAGAATCATGGCAGAAACATCAGCCTTAACTTCACTCTTTAACAAAGGCCAAACGTCACTCCTTAACAAAGGCCAACCGTGTTCCTGGGGGACACCATGAGGAAAGGTGACTACTGTAGATGCAGCATTTGTATAAACCTACTCTCCACCCCACCATCAACTCTCAAACAAAAATTTGTATTCTTATGTGCTTGTCTCAAAATAAAATTCCAAAGTGCTACCTGACATCACATATCACCATACACAATTTTCAGGAGCTCTCATTGTTTCCCCGAATACTCCAAGAGCTATGCTCAGGTTATTCACAGGCAGTCCTGCTAGTTGTTGCGAAACTTTGGGCCCCTATCTGGGGCTCCTTATTTTCCTGGAAAATCATCACCTCAAAACTCACCCTGAGCAAAGATAGAGAGCAGAGAAAATGCTGTCTTTGTCACCTCTTAATCTTGATGCATCCATATTCTTTCCAGTGAGAAAACAATGAGTACACAATCTTTCACAGATAGCAACAAAAATCAGCTAGAATTTGTTTCTGCATGAAAAAAAGTGGCTGAAAGCTTATAAAGTACTATTACTATAATGACATTAAACATTTTTTTTACTTTCTAAGTACCATCTTTACAAGCTCAAAACAACCTCTCTGACCTGCTTTTTAAGAAGATGTTGGAAAATACATTTATTTGGTCAAGTAGCCAGGTATTTGAAAATACACTACTCGTCGTAAATGCATTCTAGTGAACAATCTCCTCCGTGTATATGAGAAACCAAAATACTGAAATTCCACGGTGTCATAGGGAGCTGGGATCAGGAGAGGGCTCTCTTCCCTCAACTCACTTGGGAGATTGGGTTCTAGGTAACAAACAAACCTCCCAATTACCACCACCACCTGTGGCTATACTGTTACTATCCTATATCCGCACCACGAGCTCCTTTTGTACACAAGGCCGGTGCTAAAGGCTGCTAGTACTGATTTTCTACTAAACATGCCAAGAAACTGAGCTTTTCTCTATACCACTTTGCTCGCCTGTAAAATGTGCGAGAAAAACCATTCTAACAAAACAAAACTTCGGCGGGAGCGATTCTCCACTTTATATTGAAAAGGCTGGAACGTTTGTTGGTGGAGCAACGTGAGTCTTTCTTTTTGGGGTGGTCCTGGGAGAGAAACAGGCCACACAATGACAGCAAATGCAAGGGACCGCAAGCTTCCCCAGGAAATCCGACCCCCTCTTCCTCCTCCATATCCCACACGGGGTCGCAGGCCGGTGCAGCCTCCAAAACCGAGGGCAAAGGGGCTTCAGCTGAGCCCGTGAAGCGGGGTGGGTGGATGGGTACGCCCCACCTGGATATTACCGGGGAGAATCTGGATCTCAGCCCTAACGTGCTTGGCTTCTGGAGGAAAATGAGGCAGAGGAGGCGGTCAGGGGCACCTTCTCTCTAGGAGAAGGCGCAACCAGTACCCACCCACTTAGTCACCCCCGGCGTCCCTCCTCCTCCCGCCCGCCCCAAGCCCGCGGAGGCCGCCGGCTGCGGTGCCCGAGGTGGGCAGGGAGGGAATTCCGAGGGCAGCTCTCACCTGGCTTACGGCCTCGGGTGCGGGCGGACAGCAGGGGGCCGCACAGACTGAGTC